ACTCTGAGAAGCTCTTTTTTCTAATATCTCAAAATTCTTTGTTATTCATTTTGAAGTTAAATTCCTTAATAAATGTTAGGAGAAATTTAAATATTAAATTTAATACTTCTTCTGTATTAATATAACTTTATCATCTAAATACACCAGTTTTTTCACATTTGCTAGTTCTTTTGCTAATTAAATATCAAATGCCTTTTGATGTTACTTGAATCCCCCATATTTCTAAAATCTCATGAAAATATAACTTTTAACTATATTTTAGTTATCCATGAGCCCTAGTGGATTCCATTCTTTATATACGCTCTGAATTTTCTAACTGAGTTCCAATAATAAATTTGGTGTTACAAGGTAATTTAAAATCTCCTTTATCCATCATGCTCTCTTTATAATTATTTATTATAATTTTACTGCTGCTTTAAAGATATATGAATAGTTATGTTTTTGAAGGAGATTTTATTTTTTAAACATTACTATTCCTTGCCATAGGTTAATTTAAACTTCCAATTTTTGCTTGAAGATTACTAATTGTTGCATATTTTATTTCTAATTACAAATTTTTTTATAGAATAATTCTATGTGTTATAATAAAGGAATTTTACACATATTTATTAAAATAATTCTCGGTAAATTTATATAATCTCCTAAATCTAATATATTAAAATCTTTTTCGGATTAATCCTTGGTTTCTCTATAATTGTCTTCTTATCTGTCTCATATTAATTATTTTTGAGTATTAGTTTGGCTATTTATCCTCTTTATTAATGTCTTCCTATATTTACAATATGACTTTGTATCAGCAAATTTCAATTACAATTACTCAGTTTTTTTTGTAAAGTTTATTTTTCCAATAAGTGAAGTATATTCATATCTTCTTTTGTTATCAGATGGGAAGGTACCATCTAGATCTCACATATAACTAGTCTTCATTTGATTAATTTTAAAGAGTCTTCCCATTTTATTCTTTCCTTTTTGGCTATGAGTGAATGATCCATTACAGTTATTATAACTAATTAAGTCTGAATTTTTTAGTCTAAAAACTGATTAAATATATGAATTCTTTCAATAGTCTCGAGTGAATAGGCTTCTCGATAATTTACTGACTACAAAACAGACATAGAATTTGGAAAGGGTTTCTGTTATTTTAGCGCAACATCAACACCAACTCCAACACCTTTTCTTTTTTTAACAACAGATTTTAAGCATTATTTTATTTTTATATATAAAATATGAATTAAGTCTTTTTACTTTTATTAAAATATCGAATATTTACTCTAGAATTCAAAAAGGTAGTAAAACGGAATATCATGGTTGCAGCAAATGATATTAAAAAAATTTCAAGTTAATCAAAAAATAAAGTTTATTTTCTCAATGATAGGATATAAAGATTGATATTTAGGTTGCTTTAATCATTTTATTCCCATAAATATTATTAATTCTTTTTTGTCTTCCATCGTATTGACTTAAAATCATACACTCTTTTCATCATTTTTTAATAATAAAAACGGATATTGAGATGAAATAACCGAAAGGTTGTTAAACTCTTAAAATTTAGATTCAATAATGCTCAATATCATGTTTAAAGATATTCATCCTTTTGGATGTTTACCCCTTTACTTTTTCCTCGTCATTAGATAAAATAATTATACAACTCATAGAACCTATATTGATATTTTTCTTTAAAAGATTTGAAACCTTATATTAATTGAAATCAATTTCTTTCTTATGGAGTTGATTTTTACTATCATGAAAATGTTAAAGTTCAAATGTTCATAATCTACTGGCAAAGTTGAGAAATAAATTGAAATGCCATCCTTAAATTAAGTTGGAATAGTTCATTTCATCCATTTTATTTTGAAGCAAGGTGAAAATATTACCTAATCTGATTTCTAACCTTATTGCTTCTAACCTCCAATTAATTATGATCTGCTTTTAAAAATTAGAAATTTTCTCAAGTTAGTTTATATTAATAGTTTACATATTTGACTCAATCATGGTTTTTAAAATTCATGTTTTTAAAATTGTATAAATTGTTTATGCGATCGGCTCATCCGTGCTACTAATATGATAAATTCTATTGTATTAATTTAATGAATTAATTTATTCTCAGTTATATTTTGGGTTTTGATACTGAAATTCTTGACAACCTTTAGGGTTTTCCTATTAAAAAAATAATCTAGTATTTGTTTTATTTTTTTTAAATTAACTCTGGTTAATAAGACAATCAAAGGAAACGAAAATGAAAATTAAAGGTATATGTTTTCATTTATGTTCATTTGGGCTTAATTAATTGTATTCATTATTGATATAATTAATAATGGAATTCAATTTATAAAATTAATTCCTTAAATTATTAATAAATAGAAATGATTTTTTTTAATTTACTTTAAGTATGAATAGTTTATATTAAAACCATATAAACAAGTACTGATTTGAAAGTTCATTCATACTCTCATTTTTTTTGGAGTTTTTAGTTCTTTTTAATTCAAAAAACCTAAAAAACCACATAAAAATTGTAACAGGAAAATCCATTTAAAGATTAATAAATTTAAATATAGAGAAAATTCGATTAGGCTAGATTTGCGAATTTCTATTAATGAAGAAACCAATTTGTAATTGTTATTGGAATAGTAAAAATATGAGAGATTACAAATAGTAATCTCTCCTAATTACACCAATAAATAACTATAGACAGATAAATCTCTTTACTCTGACCCCATAAAATTGAAAATTAATTTCTTTTACTCTAGCTTTTATTTAAAGCAGCATGGAAGAGATGATGTTGTAATTTTTTTTACATTTTGTAAATCTTTTAAAAATTAGTTTGAGGATTATTCTCATCAATTTACTATTTGTTGATGAAGAATATATCATCTTAAAAAGCTTGTTTATTTTAAACACTTGCATTAAAATGTTAAATATTTTAAACATGCACAATTTTTGTAATTTATTTGATAATTAATTATCGCAATCAACTAAATTCATAATAGAAAGATATTTTTCTTTTTATTTAATGGGTTCCTTTAAATTTTCACATTAAGATATATATTATTAGTTAATAATTATGCTAAACTAGAATAAATTTCACCATATAATCATTTGATCACTTAATTTAATATCTCTATTTTACTGTTCTTTTATAAATTTACACATGGATATAAATCTTTGGATGTATCAATAGAGAGAGTCTAATAATAAATAGAAATTGATACGAATGATTTATTTGTGGATAACTTTTTCCAGAATAGCTGATGTATTTTTATTTTGATGTCAACTGCTTGATCTAATTGAATAATGTTCTATATTAATGTTGGTACCTTATTAAAAGTATAATCATATTTTAATTATCCTATTTTAACAATTCAACCTTATTTTGATTCACAATTATACTGTTAAATTCCAAGTCAACAACAATTACTTTGATAAAACTCCAATTACTTATTATTAAGTAATCAATCTAGATAATACTTAAATAACTCTAAGAATTGAATAGAATGTTCTTGATTATATAATCTTTGAATATTACATAATCTAAATAAAACATTTATTTAGTTTCAGATTGACTTGATAGATAGGCTGTCTATATTAGATATTGATTATAATTAATATGATTCCTATGTCAAACCAATATAAACTGTATAATAAATTGGTTCAGGTACGTTTAATAGATATCATTTTATTAATGCTTCTCTATACATAAGATAAAGAACTCTTTATTTAGCCAATTAATAAACACTCAGAGGATTAATTGCTGATAGTTATAACAATGAAGACACTACTGAAGATGGAGTTTACATCTTTGCAACTAGTCAACTCAATAACAACAAAGTATTTCATTTTGATAAATTTAGAACTACAGGACTACTTGAATGTCATCTATTTAGAACTAATCAATTTATTGATGGAATCTTTAATGTATATTCATTGGCTGTCAAAGGTAATTATATCTTTGTGTTGAATTCTAATCTTCAAAGATCCGAAAATTGTGTAGGATCTATTAATGTCTATAGATGGACTGTAACTGCATAATCAGTTGCATTTGATTTAGAAAAGATATATGATAAAGCATACTTTGGAAATTAATCTAGTTATTTCAGTAGTTTCTATATTGCTAATTGTAAAATTGGAGTTACAAATTACTTTTGCAGTAATCACTTGGCATACTACTTATTCCTAATTAAATCTTTATACCTTTATAAACTAAGTTCAATTTATTACAGAAACAAGTTCATTTTATTAAGTCTTGAAATTA